CATAACTAAATTTGACAAAGCTCTGATCGGCCCATGATTTTCTAGCAAAAAATCCAAAAGGATCAACTACAAAATCGTGGTGGTTCTAAATGTTTCAAAGGCAGTGGATCATTTCTCTTAAGTCATGAGCCATGTGCGTTCATTTGGAGCATGAAGCAAGCAACATCGAGCCTTCAATCACGAGTTATAAGCTTTTTCATTTTTTAGGTTTTGAGTTCTCATGTTCCTTCCAAATTCGAGAGCTATAGTCCATCGAGCCTCCAAATTTGTTTCTATTCTTTCTAAATAAGATTAACCACAATTTTGGTGAAGGAAAGAAGGGGCAAAATGCCCCAAATCTATTTCTCAAATTTGGGTCGCCATTGAAGTAAGTCAGAGGAGGTTAAAAAATTCAATTCGATTTTACACGCGAATTCGTCGCGTGAGACCTACCCCAATCGGTTTTTGCACATCCAAGAAACATTTTCATAGAAGACCTGAAAGGATAATAACTAACACAATATCTACCACTCAAGAGTGTGAATAGATATGAATAGATATGAAAATATTATTACTCCGCCAAAGAATACAGATTTAAGAATAAGAAATAGAATTGAGATCGAAGGTTCAATCTTCATTGATATTCACAATGTTTAAATAGATACAAACTAATACCTACAAACAATGAAAATATAAACTATTTAAATCTTGACAATAAAATAAAATATACTACTAATCAAATCTAAAGAAAAAAATATTCCTTGAAAATAAGATATATTCTATGACTAATATATTCTCCAAATATTAACGGATTATGAATATTTTGACTAATTCAAACTAACAATAAGTTGCATTAAATTTTGACAGCCTCCCTTATTGCAAACTTATTTTCTCAATAGCTCTGAGAGTCTTTACGAAAAACTTCAATATGTCCGCAACTTGCTCATTAGTCTGTATTTTCTGCAATTCAACATCCTCCGTTAGCATTCTCTCAAACAAAATGATAATGAGTAGTCACCATTTCTTGAATAAGCCTTCTGATCAGCCACAAAAATCCTTGAGTAGTCATTGTAGCAGCTACATATTCTGCTTCACAACTTGACAAAACAACGATGCTTTGCTTTTTATTGCACCATGAAATTGCAACAGAGCCTGCTGTAAAACAAAAACCTCTTGTGGAGCATCTGTCGTTCACGTCACCTGTCCAATTAGCATCCACAAAACCACTAGGATTTTTATCAGGTTCAGCACCCCACCCCACGGGTCCAGAGTTATTGAAACTCGGCTTCCTCCAGCTCCTCTCTGTTTTGTCCTCAGCAGCCGGACCAATTCCATTTCCAAAGCTCTTTTTCCCAACGGCGTTGGATTTTTCAGTCATCTCCCCTCACATTTCCATAATTTTCGACTCTAACTCCTTGTCAAGTTTTTTCCAATCATGTTCTTTCTCAGCTAGAACCTCTTCCCTCGGCCTCACCATTCCAAATGGGTTCGAACTCTTGGGCCTCGTCGTCGTCCCTGATATCTTCGACGACTTCACATCATTCACCGGCAGCGTACGTGGCTGCAGATTAAGCTTCGGTCGACTGCCACCACCGCCGCTGCCAAAATTACCTTCATCTTTCTTCCTCCTATTTTCATCAAAGACCCTTGACAAACCCCACTTCGAGTTAGATGAATCATCCCCATTCGAATACCTGTTACTCCTCTCATACGAACCATTCGAGCCATAATTCCTAAATTCACCACCAACACGACTGGAATTTAAACCTTTCTGGCATCTTCCCTTCCCTCCATAAAAATCAAAGTCATCCCTCCGTGAATTATGATCTTTTGATTCCTCCAATTCTGGTGACAAAGAGTTGTAGGTTTCAACAACTTTGATTCCATCTGATTGAAGCTTTTCCACAGACTTAGCAAGGTTACTTCGGGTTTGGTTGGATTTAGACACCATGTTCAGCTGGACCTTGAGCCTCTAAACTTCATTTATGGCAGAGGCTAATGCAGCAGCATCCATTGTGTGCTACTTTTGAACAGCTTCGAGTTTGGACTTCCATGCTCGATTGTGATCTTGAGAAAGTTGTGCAGTTCTTGAACACGATCTTCCTCAGAAGCGAAGAGCTCAAACACTTGCTGTTGGGATTCTTCAAGCTTTGCTGACATATCTGATAGTTGTTTATTTGCTTCTTCTGCTTTCTGCTGGGCTTGCTTTTTGTGTGATTCAGATGCACTTAGTTGATCACTTGTTTTCTTCAGTTCCTCCTAGAGTTGAGAAAGTCGTGATTCCAATTCAGCCACATTGTTCGGCTCTTTACTCTTCTTTTGACAATGTGGAAAAACATCTGATACAAGAGTTTTGTTTCCAGTTGCATGATGAGAACAACCAGAATCGAGAATCCATTCTTCATTGTAGTCTATAAAGGCATGAGCATCTGTAGAGACATCATCTTGATGTACAGCTGAAGTCACGTTTGTTGGCTGGTCAAGAACCTCAATGGTTAAGGAATATTCCCAAATTTGATCGGAAGAATTTTTACTCTCATGTACAACATTTGCTTCTAATACCTACATTGACTTGGCAATTTGGCTTAATATGACCTGGCTTTCCGCAACGATCACACACTACTTCCACCTGACAATCTCGTTTAAAATGGCCAGGTTTTCCACACTTGTAACAAGCTTTAAATGGCTTCTTTGACAACTCCTCACTCCTGAATTGATTCTCATTGCTTGAAGAAGGTTTTCAATGAAAATTCTGTCTCCTTTGATCTTTGACATGCAACACAACTTATGACTTTAGGGAAAACTCGGTGTTGTTAGTCATTTGCTTAATCAAAGCTTCCTGATTGGAAAGAAGATTCACCAGCTCAATTACTGTAGGCTGATTTGCCCACCCTTGTATTGAGGAAATAAATGGCATAAAATCTTTTCGTAATCCACGAATAAGATGACGCCGTAATCGAGCACCACTCACTGACTCCTTAGCATCTAATTTTGAAATTTTACAACACAGATTTTTCACTTTTAAAAAATATTCTTCAACAGAAAAATTACATTGAGTTACCATAGCTAATTCATTCTCTAGAAATTGCAGTTGAGCTGTATTTTTCTTAGTGAACAACTTTTGAAGTGTTTTCTATACTTGCTTTGGTGACTTTTAATCACGAACGTGATCAATATACTCCTTGCTAATCAAAGTTTGCAAGGTAAATAAGGCTTTTTCGGATTTGATCTTCCATTTTCAACGTAATTCTGCATTCTTTGGAGTATTTGCTGGAATTTCTGTGTCATCACCTTCCATTAAATCCCACAAATCTTTCCCCTGTAGATAAGCTTCCATACATAACTTCCAATAACTATAGTTATTGCAAACAAGCTTTTCCATAGCTATACCAAATCGTACCAACTTGGCTCTGATACCAATTGACGCAATATCTACCACCCTGAATAGATATGAAAATATTATTGGTCAATGAAAGAATAAGATTTAGGAATAAGAAATAGAATTCAAATCGAAGGTTCAATCTTTATTGATATTCAGAACATTTAAATAAATACAAGATACCAACTAATACCTACAAATAAGAAAAATATAAACTATCTCAATCTTGACAATAAAATAAAATATACTACTAATCAAATCTAAAGAGTAAAATATTAACCGAATCTAAGATATATTCTATAACTAATATATTCTCCAAATATTAACTGAATAAGAATATCTTGTATTAACTGAATCTCAGATATATTATATAGTTAATGTATTCTCCAAATATTAACGGATTATGATTATAAATATGAATATTTTGACTAACTCAAACTAACTTTCACTAAATTTTGACAATGACACCCAGAGTGTTCCAATTAGAGAAATATAATATCATTAGTTTTGGGGGCAAAACTCAAACTCTTATTTCTAGCCCATTTTATTTAAAATTGAGGTTTCGTTAGACGTACGGAACTAAATAAAACATATCTGATGAGGGAATTGAGGGGTAATTCGTCTGAGATCAAGCTGCCTAGGAGGATCAACTCTACATTTTAGGTTCAGATGCAAACCGAAAGTTTGAATCCAATAGTAGCCACAGTTGTCATCTTAAATTAATTCATTTAGTTTGAGGGGAATATAAGGAAGAATTCTTGTGAAAAAAATTGTAGTCTTAATATGCAACAATAATCGTACCAATAAACCCTAAAATTGAGTATTCCACCAAGTTTGGAAGCTGATAATTTAGGACACAGTACTAGAAAAGGTGAGATATTGCCCCTAACTCTTTCTTGAGACTCAATCTTTTAAGTTTCATGAAAGAATTGTGGGGAGAAATGTAAGAACCCTAGATTTCTACTAACTTAAAGTCGCTACCGTATATATAATATAACTTCTTATGCGAAAATAATCAATAAAATCATCTCCATAAAACAACGTTATGGGCTTACATGTTTAAGAAAATGTCTTTAAAACAATACAAAAGACATACAAACATTACATGAAATATACAAGTAGCATGTGGCTTGAGTATTTTATACTCAGTAAGTGACCCCGCTATTGGAGCTAGAAAATGAAAAGACATATAAACATGAATGGGACCTATCATTTTAAGTCGTATTCCCTTAGGTGACCATCCTAATGGGATCGTTGGATGAGTAGTTAAAACATTCAACATGAATAGGACCTATCATTTTAAGTCGTATTCGGAATTATTACACACCTTCTGGGTCCCTTCTAGTCGGGCTAGCATTCTCTCGGAAACCCGAAAGTAGTAGCAACCATCTTAACATCATGTTAAACATAATGATCATTTTCCCTTTCATAAGGTTCATCATAAGCCCCATGCTTGTAACTTAAAATAATTCATGAGGTCCAAAACAACCTCTCTTCCTATTTTCCTTCATACCATATGATTTTATATCATAACTTTCAAAATCATGTCTTGGGATTGTGCAACATATCAATGCCAAGTTTCAATCTTGGGACCTGTGGGTTATGGGCCCACCACACTTCCGCTGCGCCACACTGATTTATAAAAAAATTGAACCATTTCTCAATTGGTGTGTGTCATCCTTCCACAAGGACCATGCTAATCTTCTGTGTATCGTTCCAATTTTTACCCGTTTTAACCTATATTCGATTGCTCTTCCCTGATTTCGATGTGGACCATTTTATGATTTGAATTAGGTTATACTAGAGAAATTTTAGAAAATTTAAAGCTCCTAACACAAGAAAAAGCTTGCTCAAAAAGGCATACGTCATCCATATAATTAGTCATTCTCGCTTTTCTCAAGTAATGCTTGTGTAAGAACATAATAGCATGGGAGTATATATTTCCTTAGGTGTTAGAATATGCATGTTTAGGACTCTAGAAGGACTATTTGGATGAAAATATTTTATATGTTAAGAAAAATTAAGGAAATGTCCCTGGGATGAGAATTTATGATGCATACCAATTTTTTTGAGTTTGCTTGAATGTTTAGATTATGATTTCCTTACTGGTTGATAGGAACATATCCCTAATAAACATGCATGAATGAGTAGATTATGTTTTTCGTGCTTTAGGTGATTGATAGAAATATCTTTCTAACAAAGTATGCATGAGTGATCTAAGCTAATTAGGGCATTAGAGCTAGAGCGGTTTATATGTTGACCTAGGTCAGTACATTTCTATCGAGCACTCAAGGATTATGAGTAGCAATCATATGTCTAGACTTGAGTGCACCGTTGACCTAGGTCAGTACATTTCTATCGGGCACTCTAAGATTATGAGTAGCAATCATATGTCTAGACTTGAGTGCACCGTTGACCTAGGTCAGTACATTTTTTTATGATGCTTGGGGTTAGCTCCTTGGGGGCTAACTCAACAAGCCTCCATGACATTTAAGAATGATTAAGAAAGCTTAATCAATATTATAAAAAATCATCAAGGAAATGTCATGAAACATCATATTCATCAATAATAAGTCATCAAGGGCATCAAACATTAATCTCATACAGAAGCAGTGGTAGAGCTACCTAAGTAACTAAATGTTATCTCTCGATCATTGAAGTTAATGGACATTAACAATTGATATCAGAGCCAAGTTTCGATCCTAGGACTTGTGGGTTATGGGCCCACCACGCTTGAGCTATGCCACTCTAATTTATAAAAAAAATTTAACCATTTCTCAATTGGTGTGTGTCATCCTTTTGCAGGGGCCATGCTAATCACCTCTGTATCGTTCCAATTTTTACATGTTTTGACCTATATTTGATTGTTCTTCTCCGATTTCGTTGTTAACCTCATTATGATTTGAATTAGGTTATAATAGAGAAATTTTAGAAAATTTGAAGCTCCTAACACAAGGACATACTAGCATGCGAGCATATCTTGCCTTAAATGGTAGATTATGCATGTTTAGGACTCTAAAAGGGCTATTTGGATGAAAATGCTATGTATGTTAAGGAAAATTATCGAAATGCCCCTAGGAAAATTAATAAAATGCCCCTAGGATGTGGTATGCGTGACTAATGGGTGTTATTTCCCCATTGAGTTTGTTTGAATGTTTAGATTATGATTTCCTTGCTGGTTGATATGAATATTTGTCTATTAATCATGCATTCATGAGTAGATTATGTGTTTTCGTGCTGTAGGTGATTGATAGAAATATCTCCCTAACAAAGTATGCATGAGTGGAACAAGCTAAGATTATGGCACTAGAGCTAGAGCGGTTTACATATTGACCTAGGCCAGTACATTTCTAATAGATCGAGCACTCTAGGATTATGAGTATCGATCATATGTCAAGACTTGGGTGCACCCAGAGATTGAACTAGCCCCGAGGAGCTAACCCCAAGCATCCTAAAAAATGCAAGATGAGGAATAAATCACCTAGATGCCCCAAAGGACCTAATAACCCTCCATGACATCTAATAATGATTAAGAAAGCTTAACAATAGTATGAAAAATATCATCAGAACCCCAAAGTTACATGAGCTATTATTGAGTGTAGGGTCGAGTCAAGGCTGATGTTGCAATCATGTAAACTGATCTTGAAGAAGGGCTTGAAATTACATGGGTAGTTAGCTCGAGATGAGAACTTCTATTGAGTGTACAAACGGGTAAGGAAGAAGTTACGATTTCGTAAACTAGCCTTGGAAAAGATTTGGGGTTACACAGGTAGATGGGTTAGGGTGAGTGCTCCAATTAAGTGTAGGAATGGGATAAAGACTAAGACCGCAATTCTATAAACCGATCATGAAAACGGACTTGGGACTACGCATGTAGTTGACTTATGATGAGTGCCCCTAGTGAATGTGAACACGGCGTCAAGCCTCCTGAATAGGGTCGCACCGGCGTAAATTTGTAATTGAGGGTGGCACGTCAAACCCTCAAAGTGTGTTGTATGTTGTATGTTGTATGTCACGAGCACAAGATTCTTCTCTAGTACGTGTTCTGTATGGATGCATAGAGCAAGATACTATACACACTTTTTTTTTTTGCTATTGGTTTCCAGCCGCATAAGTGAGTGCTAGTCTGTAGTCAGACCTAACGGCACATATATGAGTCCACCTAGCAGATTCATATTTAAACAAATATTATGCATTCATCTTACCAAAAAAAAAAAAAAAACAGAGCCTAGGAATAATTACGTAAAGATAGTAAAAGGCCCTGAAAGGGTATTTTTGGAAAAATAATTCTAAAAGAGTGAAATAAAAAATTTAACCCACGCAACATCCAATTTGCGAGCAATGCCCTCGTAATAAACCAAATTTATAAAGATAGCCCTACAAAGTGGGAAATTGTAAAAATGGCCCATAGTTAACCAAATTGGAAATTAAGCCCCTCGATGCTGGCTTATTTGGAAGCTAGCTCACAAGATGACAAATTGATATTTTTGGTATAAAACGATGATTTTTTTGAGATAATTACCAAATTAATAATTAATAACTAAAGAAAAAGTTTGGGATAATTACAAAAATTATCAACCATGGGATGTTTGACAAGTGAAAGACTCTCATTGGTTGAATTCAAATTTGAGAACACATAAATGGTAAGGAAAATGATTGAATTTACGTGTTTAACCTCACATCCTCAACACCACCTCCAATAAAACCTAGATTTTTAAACCCAAATAAATGAATTAGAAGCTCAAATTATTCTTGCTTGAAAGAGCACAACCCTACCTCACTACTTTGACCGATTTTTAAAAAGTCAAAAGTAACAAGATTTATCGAAAGTTAGATTATGGGTATGTTTACTCACTTTTTTTTTTAAAAAAAAAAAATCTTCCTCTATAGATCTCTTTAAGTTCATAAGAAAGAGATCTACAAAACGCCAATTGTGCTCCATTAATAAGAAATCTAGAATTTAAGCGGTTTTGATTTCGTAAAAATTAGCATGTCTAATATATTCCAAAAGTTTATTGAGCTCAAATAGAAAGAATTTTATGAAGAGCTTGAAGAAAAATAACGAGAGGAAGACTCGACTTAAGTTTCTAAAAATTGAGAAATTCCCTCTCCACGATGAATCTCATCCCTAAAAACTTATTTGCATTACTTTGTGGCAAGAAAAGAAACATATTTACTAAAGAAACCATAAGTTAAAAGTCACTAGAACCGAAGAACCAAAAAGTTGACTTTCGGTGAGTAACAAATTTTGGAACTTTAGAACTTTATCCACAAAATTCGTTCTCCATCGGTTGAGTCATGATATGGGTCTTATACCACTAGCTTTAGGACAAATTAAGGAACTAAGTCACTGAAGAAGTTGAGAGGAGATAAGCTCTCAATCGTCCGAATTGAGGGCAACTTGACTTGATTTTCTAGGTAAGCCAGTACCGAGCAACCTACTTTGACTCAACATATTTTTGTGGTTTTTGAACCAAATGAATTAAAATGAGTCTTAAATAATCAATCGTACGTAGGTCTTAGAGACAGTCATAGATTCTCTAGAGAACGAATGAGTTACAGAGGTAGGAAGCGGTCTTTGTCGCGTGTATCGTAAAGACAATATGTAGAAGATGAGTGACGTGGCAACGTAGGAATCTACCACATCATTCTATTGCCTTTTCTTATATTTGTACATTGTTTAGATTGGTTCATCCCTTTTTATACCGGTCTTACAATAATTTTTAATATTGTAGAAAATATATTCAACTCTGGATATTCTCAAAATAATGTTTGATGTTTACCAAACTAGACTCAATCGGGCATATATTCAAGCAATTTGAAAAAAATTTAGTTTCGAAAAGATCATGAATAGTGATCCCAAGCACACTCGAATATGTAATTAGCCATATGGAGTATGTTTCAAAAAATACTTGAAAGGGTCAATGAGGACCATGGAAAAGTTATTAGAAATCATGCTTAGGAGGTTATTTGACCTAGTATCATGTTAACTAAGTCTTGAAATACTAAAAGTTAACCGTTTGGTACATTATTTTATCTTACAGGTTCCACAATGCATAATTGAGAACCCTAATAGAATTCATATGTTTATAAGCTTTTCAACATGTCTTGGTCGATATATTATCCCTTGTTTGAGTATGTTTTCAACATGTCTTGGTCGATATATTATCCCTTGTTTGAGTATGTTGAGCATGATGTACGTATATTCAAGTTTATAATTGCATGATTTAGGGTTTGGGATCCCATTTGTGCCAAGTATTGTTATTGGATGATGGAATGTGCTCTACAATATCTGTAATGATCATATAGACCATAAGCTACTACTTCGTTATTATGATCCTAGAACCCAGTTTTGGATTCTACATAATATTCGGTTGACTAAGTATTTTATAAGGACGATAAGGGCGCTTTCCCTATTCATGAACTAGCTAAAAGGGTTTAGGGTCTATTAGATACACAGAGTTCAATTGTCACCCACAAGGGATCCTAAGAGTCGTAGAGGGTATACTATTGAGGTAGCCTGATTGTACCTAGTGGAGAGCCATGATCTTATATTGTTATACTTGAGAGTGAATGTGAGTCGGTAGTTAAGTCTTAGTTTGAAAGGAAATATGGCAGATTGATTACTGTTCCTCAGGTAGGTAGGTTATTGTTCTAACCCGAGAAGGGTGATAACTCTTAAAAAGTAGAGTTAACCAAGCCTTTTTGTACTTAATTTTGTACTTATACTTACCATTTTTTTTTTTG